ATATATATATATATATATATATATATATATATATATATATACATACATACATGTATGTTGCAGCATTAAACAGTGGCCTTTATGAGAGATAGCAGGGTATTGAGGGAATTCCAAACTATCTTGTATGCAGAGATCCCAATCCCACTGGCAGGGCAAAAAAAAAAACCTTGAGTGATTACCGATACGTCGACAAACCTACTTTGCAGCTGGTGTGGCGTTTCAATGCCACAAACATCAATGAGATGTTCCACATCTTGAGGAAACAGGGGCTTCCACAAAAAAGTTGTTCGTTCCCCATGATGGACTTTGAAATATCTTTTTAATATGCTTGTAACCCCTGGAAAAGTCCTCTTAGGCGAGGGAAGGCTGTTGCTTGCATGCTGTGGATACATAAGACAAGTGAATTTCATTTTAAGAAATTCCGGTAAAAATGGAATGGAGTGCAAAGGCCTTTGTTGCCCTTGTGGAAAACATAATCCTATCATTCACTTTTATGGAAAACAGTCAATTCAAAAAGGAATGGAATTTTTGCAATATTCAGGAGCACATCGAATCACACACAAAGAAAAACAGCATTTCCCCACCCAAATGCAGAGACCGGTCACGTGGATATGCATTATTGTTGACGGTGCGTAACCTGCCTCAAACAGCGCTATAGAATAGCTTTTCAGCTTTTCCTCTGTGATGGGGAGAAGCTTTTCTTGGTCTTCTTTAGCAAAGACGGCCTTGTGCCAGTCTTTGTAGCCTGAACGAGCCACCAGCATCGTGCTAACCTGGAAAGGATACAACGAAACTTCAATAGTAATAATATATGTAATGATAATAACGACAACAACATCAATAATACTGAAGCTGTTCCTGATTCTAGTGATGACAATGAGGATGCTGAAGATGACGATGCAGATGATGATGATGATGATGATGGTAAATATTAGTAACAGCCCATAAATTGACAGCTAAACATCAACAACCCAAATGAGTCCTATTTTTTAAAAATGGTCTTACAGAACTTTGGGAGAGTCCATGCATGTGTATCTCCCTGGACTCGGCCAGGACCTCCTCCGCAGATTTTTGAGACGTTCCCGCAAGATGCTGCGTCAGTCTTTTGGGGGCATTATTCTTTAACACTTGGCTGGTGCATACCCTGTTTTAAACAGGGCTATGCAGTAGCTTTGTATCTTGTCCCCTGAAATGGGGAGCAACTTTTCAACATTTTCCTTTCCAAAGATGGCCTCATGCCAATTATCTTTATACCCAGATCCAGGCCACCAACATTGAGTTAACCTGGAAAGAAGACACAGAAACTTCAATAGTAGGAGTAGTAATAATAATAATAATAATAATAA